CATTAACCCCTAAACACAAAACTGAAAGCTATAATATATATATACTGTAAACCAGATCCTGAAGTTTATCATTCAAGATCTAAAAAGCTGTCAGAGTGAACTCTTTAAAAAAAATCACATCTTATCAAGTCACTCTACACTTAAGGAAACTTCTAGAGCCCCAAAAGAAAGAAAATATAATTGAAACTGCTCAACATGGCACACAACCCTTCACCATCTGACCCCTGCTTGTATCTCAAGCCTCATTTCCGGTTCTCTCTTCCATGTCTAATGACCTACATGTGTCTAATGATCAGCCTGTCCAAGGTACCTGATGTTTGCTGCCTCTGAGATAATACTATGGCTTTCAGTGGCCTGGAGCTCACCAAGTAGCGTAGGCTGGCTGGCTAGTCAGTCAGCCCTAAGAATCTGCCTGTTTCCAGATTCTCTGCCCTGTGCTGGGATTATACACGCGTGACACTTTTCCCGGTTTTGCATGTGGGTTGTGTACAAGTATCCTATTATTGAGTGACAAACACTTTATCAAACTGAACTATCTCCCCATATCTTGAATCTGAAACACTCCCCCGAAGGTTCACGTGTTAAATGCTTGAAAAGTGTCTTGGAGAACAGGAAGTGACAGAAAGCAAGAGATGTGGCTTAGTAGATTGTTTGAGTCATGGTGGGCATGACCTAAAAGGAGACAGTGGGACCCTGGTATCTCCCCCCTCTGCCCCCCTGTTAGCTGACCACATGGTTATAAGCTTTGTTCTACAGTATACTACCTGTCATGAGGCAGGGTTTCACCCTGGGCCCCAAAGTGTAAACTGAAACCAAAAGGTGAGCCAAGATAAATCTTCGCTCTTTATAAGCTGATTATCACAAGTATTGTGTTACAGTAATGAAAATCTGATTAACACAGCCTTCAATCAGTTTTTACCCTCACCCTTGTAGCACTTTATCTTCCTGGTAGTCCTGCTACCGCCAGCAGCCTTGTTTGCTCAGTGTTAAACAAATAGGAAATCTTCCTTACTCCCCAACTGCCAAACTCTGAAGTTTCCTTTGTCAATTCTATGTGCTTCTTCTGCCTTACTCATCACAGTTCTTTATGGTTTCTATTTGCTCGTGCCTCCACTTGGACTATAAACTCCATGGGAATGAACATAGTGTGATGTAGGTCATTTTATTGCCAGATGTAAATTGCAGCCGGCACTCACACAAGTGTTGAGTGGCTGACTCATCGAGTGTGTGGATCATTTTATTTTACTTGTCATAAACATGTACAGGGGCTTGAGAATACTTGAAATCCCTTGCTATTAAGGGTGACAGATGCTACTCATTATTCTGTGTTCCTTGTGGCTTGGGCTTCACTGTGTGATAACTCAGATTAATGCAGACAAATGTCAGCAAGACCTTAAGAATGTGCTTCTGGAGAACACAGTCCATAGATCACCTAGGCCTAATACTTAGGCCATTGCAGAGGAAATGAATGGGCCTGTCAACAATTGGAAATACTTAAGAAAAGCTGATTAAAGAAGGCTTCATGAATGATGAATTATGAACTTTAATATCTCCGGGAGAGAGTTTTACTGACATTTAAATAAATCTCAACAACACAAATTGTAATTAAGCATTTGCCACAACAAACAAAGTACTGCCAAGGTGTTCGCTCTGAATCACAGTTATGGAACGGTGGAGGGTGCAGCTGAAATTATGGCTGGTGATGTACCTGACTCACGGCTCAGTGTCTTACATTCTGAACACTTTGATCTTTACCTTGAATATTGCAAATCTCAGTCTGAAAGATATGTGCACTAGATCTCCTTGCTCTGGGCCGAGTCCTTCAGTCTTTGCTTTCTGCTTTACAGTCAATTTCTTCCTCCACTGACACTTTTCATAAAATCCCAAACAACCCAATGAAAACTCCTGTGGCTTCAACATAATGGAGTTTTGGGGATAGTTAGTACATTGGAATAAACTATTTCGTGATCATCCCCTGTGTATCAGCAGGAGGTGCTGACTGTGTGCCTTCAAGTGACATCACCAATGACGTTACCAACAAAGAAAAAGACAGCCCACAAAACTAAACAAAAACAAAAGGAAACAAAAGGAAATTAAATCTGAAAGCCCAGTCAAACTTAACAACAACAAAAGCCAGTCTTGGATCCTGACCTTACACACCATATCATCTAGTAGGAAAATAGACATTAAACCACACAAGCACAGAGATAGTATAAAATGTGCTGAGTGTGAGAAAGGAAAAGTGTGGTGCTCGGAGAAACCTACAGGGAGCACAATTAAAATGGAAGATCAAAGCAGTCTGTCCAAAAAGGAGACTTGAATAAGGGAAAACGCAATTTAAGGAGTCTAGAGGGAGAAAGAGAAAGAATGAAAGCTTGGAAGACGTGGTTGATTAGACAGCACACGAAGAATATGCGTCTTGCTTGGCAAATGATTTCCCTAGTTGTGGAAACTGATTTGGCACATACAGAGATTAAACGTGATGATCACATCAAGCAGCAAGCAGGTGTGAAGCCGTGCTTTACAGATAAGAGACTGACTTGCCAAGCTTTTCTTCACATTGACATGGTTCAGAAGAAAGGAGCAACAGCAACACTGCCTAGTCAGACTCACAAGGAGCAGGAATTCAAGTACATCAATGCTTTACAGAAGGAAGAACGAAGAAGTTGACTTCCTTTTCAAGACACAGGTTCTGTTAAATTCCACTCAGCACATCAAAGAACATTCTGAAGCTGCTTTTCCCTCCTGAGGTAGACTAGATAATCAGTGCCTTAATTCTTGATGGCACTTGAGTGTAGAATGTATGCTTGGCATAAAGCGTGGGGTTGGCATTGTTGCCTCCATATGCTTTTATGTACCTGAGAGTGCAAACGGGAGCATCAAAGGGTAACGGGTAGACAAAATCTCGCTTGTGTGCCTCGCACGTGTGATTTAAACAGAACTGAGAGTTGAACTCACAATACCAGTCTTGGCTTTTCCGGCTTGTAGGCACTTCCATTTCATTTCCACCTGTTCAAACAAAACAAGAAGAAATCCGTAAGTTCTAAATTATGAGGTCTGTCTGTACATCACTGTTGGTTAGGTCACTTTAAAAACCTCCATATACCGAGGAGACAAAGCAGGAACTCTTTATTAAGTGGGACCAAGTGGGGTGAGGGATTGCAATGATTCTGCTATGTAGAATGAAGGTTGGGAAAAATTTTTTAAGTGTTTCTATTTTGTTGTATGTGTATTGGTGTTTTGCCTGCATGTATGGCATATGCATACTGTACCAGCCTTGAGTTACTTAGAACTGGAATTTCAGATGGCTGTGAACCACCATGTGGGTGCTGGAAATCAAACCTGGATCCTTTGGAAGATCAACTTGTACTCTTAACCACTGAGCAATCCTTCCAGCCCTAAGGAAGCATTTTATTAAACCATATTTACATTATATCTTTTAAAAATAATCCTTCTTTCCCTGAAAATTAAAAAAAAAACACAGAAGAAACATCAAATAGCTCAAATCGTGTGTGTGTGTGTGTGTGTGTGTGTGTGTGTAGGGGGCACACATGTGGTAGAGCCCAGAGATGTTGTGCCTCAGGCACAATCCACTTTTTTGTTGTTATTGTTTTGTGTTTTGAGACAGGTTTTCTCTGTGTTGCTTTGGTGCTAGTCCTGGAGCTAGCTTTGTAGACCAAGACGGCCTCGAACTCAAAGAAATCTGCCTGCGTCCTCCTCCCAAGTGCTGGGATTAAAGGCGTGTGCCACCACCACTTGGCTTCCACTTTCATTTTGAGCCACGATCTGTAAACAAGGACACCAGTCCCTGGCGATCTGCCTGCCTCAACCTTCCCAGCACTGGTATTACAAAGTATCAATGTACCTGGCTTTTTTAAATGTAGGTTCTGGGGATCAAACTTGGGTCCCCATGTTTACAAGGCATACACTTTACTGAATGAGCTATATCCCTAAGTATTAAGTCATTAAATTTCTTTTTTAATTTTTAAGCAAAAGGAGGTTGGAAAACTTTGATTGAATTGTTCGTGATTTTACTCTCCTGGCCTCTTTATTCTGCTTTTCAGGGTTGGTGGATGGGTGGACAGCAATCTTAACACAGGCATAGCCTCTTCAGTTCGAGAATTTGGCCGTTTCCTCAATGTTTTGCCTCGCCGTCACTTCCCCGTGGCTTCTGTGTCTATAACACATGTCTAAAGCTCCATTCTCCGACAGATCACATGTTCTATTCAGTGCTTCTGAAAATAGGGTCCTGAAAGTCATCTACATTTTCTCTGTCTTCCCCACGTTGCACATATTGCTGCAGACATATAATCTTTCATCTGCAATCCTGGGATTCAGATGTGATCTACAACTTCAATATGCCTTATTCAAAAGGGTAGAGTTGCCATTCAGAATCTTGTCCGCTTTCTTTATTCGGAAGACCACTTTGTCATCAAAGGCTTTTGTGTTTCTGTGAGAAACATGGGACTACTTCCAGAAGCAAGGTAAATAAAGCCGACAATTAGTCTCATGGCTGTTTGGTTCGGGTTTTGCAGACAAATGGCATTCCTAGAAGCTGCATCAATCAAGAACTCTAAACTCTCAAAGGCCATTGCTTTTTTTGGGTTGTGGACAAGGGATGGTGAACACGGTAGAAACGGCATTTCAACTTTGTTCTGCAAATCTGCCTTTACACAGATTTCACTCAATCACACAGCTGTGAGAAGCCAAAGACATCTCCACTGCCAGCTGCTTTCTGAATGTTAATACTTTCCATTCGGTCAGAAATGGAAACCCCAGAAAACCCTAGCTTTTTTTTCCTTTCTGTTTTTGTAAACTAAAATAGGTAATCAGACTTTTACAACCTCTTACCATTAAATGCTGGTGACTCAAGTTCAGAAACCTAAATAGCTGACTGAAACCTTGTGGTCACTTTGGGCCGGTGGTTATCTGGTAATTCTGCTTTCATCAACCTTCAGAGGCTTTGGCCTCTCCAGCTGCAGATTAGATGATTTTTCACAGTTGCGTTGGCCGAGTATCTCTTAGTCTGGTCTTCCCCCAAGCTGTGAGGATATGAACCTGAGGGTCCCAAGGTAGGTGGGTGATTTGAGGAGGCAGCTTTGGTGAATTCCACGTGGTCTCATTATTCCGCAGACTGGAGAGCTCAAGAGACATTGGAGTCATGTGTGTTTGTTTCCTTATTAGGCTAGCTATGCTTTGAGGAGCAGGCCTTACAACATGTGGACTACTTGCTGTGTGGTGAAAAGTGAACCTACTTTTTTTATCGTTGTTAGCAGAATTGACTTTGGGACTATGTGTTCTTGAAGAAACTAAGACCTTGAAGAGGCATTTGGGAATGGGAAAAAGTATCCCATCAAATGATTCGGGAATCTTAGGGTAGAACAAATGAAGGGTAGAAACACCTGCATCTCAAAGATTATTGATGACTGGGGGAGGAACAGAAAGGAAGAAGAATGAATGAGGAATGTGAGAGACCTGTCGAAAGAATTTATAAAACGGGTTGACTGTTATTCACACTAATTTGTTTCTAGGTCAACAGTGCGAAGCCCACCTAGTTCATAATTCTGTAGACTCTAGTTTTGTGGATTAAGTTTAAAACTGAGTAATACTAGTAATACTAGTAGTTGATTACTGGTGAAGATCATACTAGCAATATAAAAATAATTGCAAGATGTCAAGTAGAGAATCAGAAGTCAACTGAAGGAAGAGGGACCAGGAGAACATAAGTCCTGGGAAAATATATAAGCATTTTAGAGAGGGAACTGATTTTCAGCACCAGGTGGATTGGAAATGAGAATCAGTCTTAAGCTGGGTTTTAAGAAGTCGAGTTAGCATGGATGTCACCTCCATTAAACAGTTAACAAAAGTGACATTTGGCTTATAAAAAACGACGAATGGCCTTGGTGAAACATCACAGGCACATGAGCGGTGGAAAGACTCCTGAAGAATTATTTAGAAATCCTTGGTTTGGGATCTGTGCCATTCCATAATTCTGGGACACTTCACTATTCCGAGCTGATGTTTTATCACGTGTGAAATGACAAAAGAAAAGTGGCGGGTGGCTCTCTTGTCTTGAGAATGGCCCAGATGTGAGCTAATATGTCTGAGGAAGGCTTTAGGATTCGGGATCTGAAATACCCGTGTGGACATGGGTACTGATGCTTGGATCTGCCTGTGCCGCTCACTAGCAGCAGTGAGCTTCTGGTTATCAATGTAAACGCCTTGTCTTTAGTTTACTTACAAAGCAGTAGCAATGGTACCCATGTTTCTGATGCTTAGGAAAGAGTAACATTTTAGTCCAGGTAAAAACATCTTTGTTTGAAATATTTGCTATATGTTAGATCTAACTCTTTCAAATCTAAAATTCAGTTTTCTTGTTAAGCTCCCCCCCTTTTTTTTATACTTTTGCAAAAGAAAAAAATTCCAGTTATGTTTTATAGAGTAGTCGAAACTTCACACTAACTTAACCCTGCTGAGAAACAGAAACAACACAAAGTGACATTAATTCAACTTCACATTTTGCTAGCTACACAAAATCAAACAACATATATTCAAATCCATATGCTGCTATGGTTACTGATTATAACGTATATATTAACCAAAATGGTCTATTTAAAGAGCTGCATCCACAGAGGTGATGAATTTTGCCCACAGATTTTTTCGTTATTCTGTAGTTTCCAAATTGCTGTACTTTGATTCTGAACCCCCACAGCAGGCTCATGTGTGGAATGACTGGTCCTCAGCTTGTAACATTCTTTTGTAGGTTGAGGTGTCCTTTGAGGGTGCCTGACTTGCAAAAGTGGATCACTTAAAGTGGATCTTTAGGGTTTTACACACTCCTGATTCCAGGTTGCTCCCCTTACATCCTAGACTGTTGCATTGTCTGGACCATAGACCTCATGTTCCCATCACCACCAATAGAGATGTTCTCATCACTGTGTTCCCACAACAATGCGCTGAGCCCTCTGAGAATGCAAGGCAAAGCATCTCATTCCTCCTATAAGTTGCTCTGTCAGGTGTGGTGTCTCAGTGATGGAAGAAAGAAAGAAAGAAAGAAAGAAAGAAAGGAAGGAAGGAAGGAAGGAAGGAAGGAAGGAAGGAAGGAAGGAAGGGATGAAGAAGTGTGGTTGTTCCTATGATAAACCTAACCACATATGTCTCATGCCTCTAGAACTGACTTGGGGTCTGTGGAACACTTTGGAGATACAGGAGAGAGAAACTATAGAATGCTGTAAGTCGAGTTTATTGGGCCTTCCTGGTGTTGTTTTGGAAGACTACAATGCTGATCGACAGGCAAACAGTGAGCGCCATGCTCATTTTTCTCCTATGTGTGAACAAAGACTCTTTCAGAAATTAAGCAAGCAGCCATTCATTGTCCATTCATTCTGATGAGGAACCGGGCTATACTTTGCCTGTGTCCTGAAGATTTCAGTGACTCTGAATTCAAAGGTAATGAATTAATACATTTGGTGGATGACGTTTTGAGGGAGCCTAACATTTAGGCTTTGTTGTGTGATCTCTGTTCACTGCTTTTTGCTTTGTTTACAGCGAGAGCGAACCAAAAAACAGAGCAGAAAGATGTATGTAGTTCATCAAAAGGTTCATGTTTGCACTTAAATTTACAGCCGACTGGGCATTCATCAACAGATGAATGGATCATGAAAATAAGATACATATATAAAATAGAATATTCAGCTGTAAAGAAAAATTGAAACCATGAAAATTTCAGAAAAATGGATGGATTTGAAAAGCATATTAAGTAAAGTGACCCAAACTCAGAAAGAAAAAGCTGTACCTTCTCTCTCACAGGCCTGTCTTAGCCTATCATGTATGTATGTATGTATGACTGTATGTATGTATGTATATATATGTAGGTATGAATATAGTACAAAGTTTAGGAAAGAGACTAAGGGAAGGTAAGGGTAAGTGCTATGGAAAGATGAATTTAGGCAAAAAGACCACAGAGTCAAGAAAGGGTAGAAAGCTTTTCTTCCCCTAGTTTCAACTTTCTCATAGTTTATCCTATTTCCACAGTAGATAGGTGAACAAAAATCTAATTGACAGAGCGGGTGTAAGCGAAGCTCCACTGCTTCAAAATGGCCATTCTAATGCGGAGACATTCCCCCAAATGTACAGATATTGGGACTGTACACATGTTCAAGGACTTCCTTAAACTGGCTATGTAGTATTTTTATTTGTGAGTTAATTAGAATAAGGTGTTTTTAGTGTTAAAAAGTTACAGGTAAAGTAGTTGTAATTGTTACAATGATTAACGCCATTAAAGAGAAACCACATCCATTACATTGGGTCAAAAGAAAAAGCACTTTCTGGGAACCATTCACACCAAATTCCAAGGTATCAAATTGCACATTTGAATGGAGGCAGCCTGAACGAATAGTGCTTGAAAGGAGAAAGCATTCCAGGCCTCATCCATTAAAAGGCTAATAGGAAATGTTTGCTGGGTTCGACCTCCAAGGCAATCAGAGGCTTCTGCAGCATTGGGAAAGGAGCTTAGCCGCCTTCTTAGCTGAAAGGGTGACTTGTCACCATCTAAGTGGTGCCTTTTGCAAGATGTATATGTGCAACAGTTGTGGAATCCTGAGGGCTTGCACCAAGGGTCCAGAGCAAGGCCTGTGAGGCCGCACAAAGTGTAGTAGATGATGATTCCCTGAGGGTTTCTCTGCGAGACCCATAGGTGAGATGGTAAAAGTGAAGCCTGAATGGCAATGGAGACGCTAGGATATCGAGGTTGCCAGGAATGTGAAATACCTTCCGAAGAGATGGAACAGTGCAGATTGGAGCAAGCTCAAGGGAATTCCAAGTGTGCTTCAGGCAGCAGAACTGTAAGGGGAAGCCCGTTTGAGTTTACACCATGCTACCATCCACTCAAGAGACAGAACATAGAACTGCAGGATTCAGTGTTTGACTTGCTGGATTTGGGCTTATTTTAATTTAGTATTTCTTTGATATCTTTCCATTTTTTTTCATTTTTAGAATGGGAATATTTACTCTGTACCCTTGGGTATTAGAAGCCTGTAGTTTTATTTTTCATTTTCTAGTTGCACACAATTAAGTGATCACCTTGAATTTCCATAGAGATTTTCATCTTTTAAGCCATGTAGGAATTATTAATATTATCTGGACTCTGACTATTGGACAAAATGCATTTTTTGCAATGTGAAATGACCATGAGCCTTTACCATACAAGGGAAGAATGTTGTGGGTTAACTGGAAATGTTCGGCATAAGCTCACGTTTTGAATACTCGGTCTCACTTGTGAGGCTATTTTGAAGGCTGCAGTGACTTTGTCAGGTGAGCCATAGTTGCAGGGTCTAGATCATTAGAGACAGACCTTTGATGGCTTTACTTGCCCCTGGCTCTGACCTGGACTCTTGTCACCCATGATGCGAAGACCTTCCACTTTATGTGCCTACTGTCATATCTTTCCCATCACGATAGAACGGAACTTCAGATTATGAGCCAAGGTAAATTCTTCCTCCTTTCAGTTGCTCTGTGAAGTGTTCTGCTACACTGATGAAAAGATCAACACATATCTATCATATATAAACACTAACATTAATTCTAAATGTTAAATCCATTTGTTTTAATAATTCTAGAAACTATAGAAGTAATAAAACTCACAGTCACTTGATTGTGGCCTAAGAATGATCAAAGACTGCCATTGTCTTCCACTTCATTTCCAACCCCACTAAGACAGGTTGCCTCCACCTAGGTTTATAAGAAAAGACATTTCCGAAGCAAGGAATGGATGGGTTTTTCTCTTATCTCTTTGAAACGGTATTCTTATGAATTTCAAGGGTAGTCTGAAAAGTGACTGTATCCAAGGATGGCCCTGAACTCACAATCCTCCTGCCTTCAGCCTCACAACTTCTGGAATTACAGGCATGTATATAAAATCTTTCATGAAAATTAGAAGGCATTCTCTGTTATCTGAATATTTCTTCTTACAAAATAACCATTGGGCAAGGGCCCATCTGTGTTAGCTAGGGTTTTTATTGCTTCGAAGAGGTACCATGACCATGGCAACTCTTATAAAAAAACCATTTAATTGGGTGGCTAATTTACAGTTTCAGAGGTTCAGTCCATTATCATCATGGTGGGAAACATGGTGGCATGCAGGTAAACATGGTGCTGGAGCTGAGAGTGCTACATCTTGCAGGTGACAGGAAGTTGATTGAGACACCGGGTGGCATCCTGAACATAAGAAGCCTCAAAGTCCACCCCCACAGCGGCACACTTCCTCCCACAAGGCTGTATCCACTCCAACAAAGCCACACCTCCTAATAGTGCCACTCCCTATGAGATTATGGGGGCCAAGTACATTCAAACAACCTCACCGTCCCACCAAATACTACTTCTGGGGTACCATTAACAAACATCTCACATAAAAGGACAGGTCTACTTCTATTTTCGCTGTCTACGCTTCTTGTGTGCCCAGGCTTCCTCTTTTTCTATGGCCCCAATTCTCTGGAAGAATAAAGGAAGCTGGTTTACGTGAACAAAATCTATCTTCATGGCACCCACGTTTCATCTACCACATGCATCTAAGTCTTACCTAACAAAGGATGCTACAAAAAGCGAATGAATCTGGGAGCGAGTGAAAGATTATTACACAGGTGTACACAGCTCTTCTTTCCTTCCTTCCTTCTTCCTCGGTCCCTCCCTCCCTCCCTCCCTATGTGCCTCCCTCCCTCCCTCCCTCCCTCCCTCACTTCCTTTCTTCTTACTCCCCTGTCTCTTTCCTTTGATATTTGAGACAAGATATAATGAGATAGCCCAGGCTGTCTGCGGAATGTATCATTATACCTATTTCTTTCTTAACTCTGATTCACATTTCATCTGCTAATTTAATAGAATAAAAACACATGACATTGACCCAAATCTTACATAATCAACATAGGTTGAATTAACAGTTCTTAGCTGAAGAATTTCCAGATGATTCATCTAGACAATGTTCTGCTGATATTTCTAGCTCCAGTATCTCCTTTTTCTTTTTTCTTTGCAAGGGCCTTAGTCTCCTCTGGTTAGCCTTCGTGATTCCAAATTGCCAGTTTTTCAGAAGAAATGAGCAGACAAGGGCAGATGAAGGGTTACCTTCACCGTGAAGGAACGTGAAGGAATTAATATGGCAATGAAGTTGAAAATATTTTGTGCTAATTTGGTTTATTTTGTCCTGAGGATATACAGTTCCATAAATTATAAATATCCTCTAAACTGAGAGGTCAGTGTTTCAGGACAGGTATGAACTCAACACTGTACCTTGGGTTTTGACTGATGAACAGGAAGACGTTTATTGGGTCAGGATGACTGAATCTTGCTGTCACCACAAGGGAAGAAATACACAAAAATGAGAACTAATGAATGAGCATGGGGAGCTAATGAATAAGCACGCAGTTTAGGAGCCCCATATCTGGGAATCTCGTAGTAAACAACCACCAAAGGATAGTTGATTTAAAATGGGCCAATTTCCAGAAACATTGCTTGTCTCAGAACTTAGCACCGTTTTACAGCCTGAAATTACAAGTAGTGGCTTCTCAATATCCATAACAACTACCACTTATACCACCCATGCATGCATACATATGATATATAAACATACAGGCAGGGTCCAGGTGCTCTGAGTGGGAGTGTGATGTGGGCATGGTGAAGGGACTGGAAAGATGCTATTTATTCACAGACAATCAGCCTCCATAGTACAAGCATTATGGAACATGGACACTCCTGGTTGGTCCCAGGAATCCCCTTTGGTACTAGGCATTTTGGTTTATTGTCTCATTAGTAGCCACAAAAGTATGTTGGGTTGACTTCATGTGTGCTTATTGAATATGTGCGATTCTGATAGTTTTATTTATTACACCACCACCACCACCACCACCAGCGTACCTCATCCTCTCAGGACTTCTGGAAACTCATATCTAACTGATAGGCTTTGGGTCTACTCTTTCCCACTAAGGTGGTTTTTTGTTGTTGTTGTTGTTTTCATTGTTTGGGTTTTATGAGACACGTTTCTCTGTGGAGCCCTGGCAGCTGTTCTGGAACTCAGTTTGTAGACCCGGCTTCCTCAGACTCAGAGATCTGCCAGCTTCTGCCTCCCGAGTGCTGGAATTCAAGGCGTGCACCACTACCACCCAGCTACCCTGATTTTTTGTTACGTAACCAGCTGAGACTTCTAAAGATTTGATTTTGGGGGACTTGTGAGCAAATATAAACTGCCAGTGATTTCCCATGGTTCTTAGGCGACCTTAAATCCTTCCTTCTCCCCCCCTCCCCACTCTTTTTTTTTTTTTTTTTTTGAGACAGGCTCTAATTGTGCATTCCAGGCTGACTCTAAATATGTGCTCTCCTTCTGCCTCAGCTTTCCGGACGCTAGGATTATAAACCTGCACCATCAGGTCTGAATTACTTCCATCCTTGACATTGCCAGTCCTACTGTGTTAAGACTTTTATGCATACAATCTCCCCTTCCTCCCCTTTCTGTCTATTATTTAAAGTCATTACCTAGTCTGGTGTGCCTGTGGTTAAAGCTCCAAATCATTAGCCGGGTGGTAGTGGTGTATGTTTTTAATCCCAGCACGCGAAAAAAGAAAGAATAAACAAACAAAAGATGCTCCAAATCAAACCACGCAGACAGCAGACTCTAAAAGGCTGATTCAGGCACAGAACTGAATTTATATGACTTGAAAATCTTTGACATACCCTAAACATGCGTGTGAATGCACATGCATGCTCAAACACATGGCACATGTACACACATGCTCGCGTGCGCGCGCACACACACACACATGAACATTATTTAAACAAAAATATTCTTCTTGGAGGACATTAGTTTGTAGACTATTATTCTATCTATAAAATCAACGCTTTATTTAAATGTAGCTCAAATTTGATCACGAAGAGGAATCCTACCTTGGTCATTGTTAGTAGGATAAAGAACTTTTGCCCCAAACGTTTAAACTTCATCAGATGTTTGCATAATGCAGGCAGACAAGTGGTTACAATGAGAGAAAGCCTCTGTCCTAACTGCCATTTCTGTAAGTAGTTGATAATAAGATAATGGTAATGTCTAATATAATTTAACGTCTATAAAGAAGTCGTTAGCAAGTGAGCTGCAGGCCCAGACTGGACTGTGTACATTTTTGTTTCGCTCATCCAGTAATAAAATTATTTGAGTATTATTTGGTATCTAAAAACTGGGAGAAGGAAAACAATTGAAACTTTCACTTCCCTTTAGGTGCAAAAGGCTCTGATGACCTGAGGTCCATGTGCTCCCCTTGGGGACTCTTGGCTGGAGCTGAAAGGCAGGTATTGGCTTCAGGTGAGTGCAGAATGTCTGAATCTTGAGTACACACAGGAACACCGCAAGCTTGGTTCTTCCAGCTACAGATTCCTAGACTCTGTCCCAAAGTTTTCCGTCACTTGATCTGGGATGGTCCCCCAGCTGTCTCCCAAGTGCCGCTGCTGCTGCTTAGGCATCTGCACTGGAGAACCACGGGGTCTCACTGTGCTTTCTGTGTCCAGGTCTGAGCGCCTCTCCTCCACTGCCCGCTCCAGGTACCACTGCCGCCCATCACTAAGCTCCCAGTGTTATTATTTGGAGGTCTTTCTCCTATGCCTTCCCTGAAGGCAAAAATTAAAACAAACAAATGGCACAGGACAACTTTCTATATCCTTGTGCAAGCAAAGAATGCATGCCAACGTACTCCTTATGTGTGGATGAAGACTTTTGAGTCTGTTACTCAGTCCCGTGTTACTATCGTGGGAAAGATGATCAAATCTGAGTATTGGAACTTTGAGTTTGAGGCATCCAGGCTTGGCTTTACCTCTTGATCTGGAATTTAGTAGCTCCACGACAGAGGGAAAGTCTAGACTCGTTTCTTGTGTCTACTAAAGGGGTCACAATGCCCCTTGCTCTGGTGGGCCACTGTGAAATGGCAGAAACAGATGTAACGTGTAGAGGACCCAAGATGCTCAGCCACTGTCATCTGTCTATGTGGATCATTCACATTTTCTCATAGATTTTCAAATAAAGCAGTCATATGTTAGACAGGAGGGACATCTAAAGAGAAATGGAGTCAGGAACCTGGAAAGACTGAGTAAAAGAGGTCAAAACTCAAAGAGGAGAGGTTTTCAAAAAGTACAAAGAACAACATAAATGCGTTCTCAGAGTCAGTGTCAGAGTAAGACACCCAGGACTGTCTACTACTTAAGGTAACCAAGAGATGTTAAGAGAAAATAAGAGATAATAACCCTAAATTATTGGACTAGTGAAAGGTCTTACTTCTTGGTTAAAGGGAAGAATTTTCAGTTGCAAGGGAATACGAAACATATCCAGAGGAATCTAAGATCCAGCCAGTCAGCCAAATGAGTCCACAGTAGCCGAAGAGAGTTACCTAAGCAAGTGCCTACCAGACACGTTCGTATAGAATAGCCAGAGGTTACAGATGAGATGAAGAGCAGGTGTGGCTGGGAGGCCACAAACAAGACTCTAGGAGGAGTCACACAGAGTGAAGTAGTGTCCAGGCAACACAGAGCATCACTGCTATTCTGCTTTCTAACACAGAGAGGAGAATCTACTTATTTTCATGAATTATATATTCACTCTGAGTGGGATACTAAATGGGATGGTAATAGCATGAAGGGGGAAGGAATGAGCATAAGAGGCAGGCATTATTTCTTAAATGTAAGCCCCTTCAGTGTGTCCATTTTCCTTTCTGATGAAGATTATGATTATTAAGCCCAGAGGTCATGGAAATGACACGCTCATTCAGCAAATATGTGTGTGAGTGTTTTGCTTAATAGGGATTATGTGGAAGCATATTGCTTGTCTTATTTTTTTTCTTTTAGCAAGAGACATAGCAATTTGGTCACCCGCTATCGATTGTAGGCGAGAAGCAAACATCTTACAGAGAATGAGGCAGAAATCTAGCCTAGTAAGAGACAAAAACGAGTAATAGTTTCCATTAAAATTGAAAACCCAAGAGTTGCTAGATGAAGCAAAAGAACTCAATATTTTATAGACTTATGATTCAATCATGTTAATGATATAAAGGAAGATGCCTCTGGATGTAGCTCTGAAGGCTTTGGGCTGAAAACAGCAATCCGAGAAGCTGTGAAAGTTCCCACAATGACTGAGATTTCACAGGAGGAGCTTGTTGAATAATGTGTGATTTTTTTTCTTTTCCCCAGAAGTTCTCAGCTACCAGGATACAGAAGAACAATAGACAGAGTGGTCTAAATATAAGAAGTTTGCAGAGATAGAAGAATAAAGAATAAGGAAAGGTGAAGGTAGTCCACAGGAGTTGTTAAGAAAGTAAATTCACGAAGTGAAGACCATGTAATGTTGGGCAGGCAACTAAAAGATTAGCTGTGTTTATTGAGACTCAGGGGTAACAAGGCAGAGTTGGAATAGATGGTAAAATCTAGTCAAGTGGAAAGTTACACAGGATTGCATATCTTTTTCTCTACTTTGCCAAAAATTGTCCAAGGCCTAAATGAAACTGTGGAGGGTTAATTCATGTGGAATGGACTTCTAGATATACCACGTCTCTTCTTTTTCTCTTTTCCCTTAAGTGATCATGACTTTTTAGTGAGAATTCTTAATAAAGTTTTTAAGGAAGAAAGGGCTTTTCCATCTGCATATAAGACAGCCACATGCAAGAGAACTGAGATTTATATAGGGAATCACAACTTTCAGTCGGCTTTACGTTCACTGATATTATCACCACCAGTCATAAGAAAGGTATAGCTTTAAGCATTTTTCATGTATTAAGTGTAGAAGCTACATATACACTGGGAGGTCTTCCATTCTCAAGTTCATAGACTACCCAACTAGGAAATTAGTTGCCATATTTCCTTTAACTCAACGGGATGTTTAACTGGTACCAGTGGGCTAAGGCAAATACTCTCTGGTTGCTTTTGTATCTTCCTTCCCTTGGGCTGAGACAGAGGCCCTGGAAGGACTTACGTAATGCCTTGGACAGTGAACTGGAGGGAGTGGGAGCCTTCTAGTCATTGAGCATTCCATTCTGCTTTAGCTACCCAAAACACTTTGAGTCCTTTAGGAGTGCAAGCTCAACACATCTTCTGGTTCCCTTTTCAGAGAGTAATCTTTAAGACGTAATTGACTAATATGCCCAGATTCATGATGAAGCCATCTCTTCTTGGGGGACCTTCCCGGAAAGAAGAAAATTGTGTTTCTTGGGCCCATTGTTTTGTAAGTTCTTCTTACCTCCTCTTCACACTCCTTCCCTCTGACCTAGAGAATTCTATTCTAGGCAGGGAGTAGAAAAAATGAATACTTTTAACCCATGCACCTCCCACACACTGTGTCTTTATGGCATCCCCCAGCTCTAAGTTCCCCATTTTAAAACCCAGACCCAAAGAGTGGTTGCTGGCAATTTCTGCTTTCTGACCAGCTGTATTCCCTTGGTGAGACAATGACCTAAGGATTGTTTATAGATCTGTAAGTGGGGGAAAGGCCAGGAGAATATGGGGAACAGCATTTGAAAATTAGATTTAGGCTTGGACATGAAAGACTTCTTTTCCAGTTATAGAATCTATAATTCTGCCATTGCTAGGCAAGACCAGGTTTGTGTGGTAAAGATTAGATAAACTAGGTGGTTTTTTTTTTCCAGAGAGAGACACACACAAACACACAGAGTAGCAGTTGGTCAGATGATGAGAGGAAAGGCTCTGGTCTTTTGGCTCTCAGGGTGCTTGGAAAGATTCTTAAAAAATAGTGGTGACCCAAACTGAAACAGTCATCATCTGACAAGTATCGCCCATGCCTTGGCCCTTGAAACCTTTAGCCACTTAAGGTGGATTTTCACTTCTCTCAGGAGAGCCTAACTGTTCCTCATCTCCAACTTCTTTTCTTTAGGGGCTCAACAGAACCATACATTTTTAGATATCTTCTCTCCTATATAATAGGTCAGGATTATAATGCACCACAGTGGCTCTGAAATTTCATAGAAGCTCATTATCAGTGAGCCTTTGTTGATGGTGGTTGTTCAAAGCTTTGCACCAAGGTTTCAAGCATGATGAAACTCAAGGGTTGTGCAATCACATTGGGCAGATTTAGTATGTGCAAAATGTCTAGCATAGCATGGAGGTGGTAGTCAGTTTTCCATTACTAAAAACACATCACTGGAGACAATCATCTGTTATAGAGGAGAGATTGTTTTAACTCACAGTTCCAGAGGCTTCAGTCCCAGACTGGTCGGCCTCTTGGCTTTTTTTGACCATAATGAAGCATCACATCATGGCAGCAGCCTGCCACTGGGCAATGTAAGATTGCTTACCTCGTGACTAAAGTGTGCAAAAGAAAGAAGAGACAGGACTAGGGTCTTGCTATCCTGTTTAGGAGTGCAATGACCTAAAGACTTCTCACTAAGTCCAGCCTCTTAAATGTCTCTCAGCAGACCACACTGGAAATCAGGCCTTTGCTTCCTGGATCTTTGGATCACACCTGACATCTAAAACACAGCAATGTCCCAAACACCTCTGTTTCCCTGTGCTAGGAGTCAGGGGGGGGGGCATGAATGATGTGAGCTAGATCCATCAGCTGACACACCCGGTGGCTCTTGAATTGCAGCTGCCTTTTGGAATCATACCTAAAAATAGCTCTAGTACCATTTGCAGAAGTTCTGACCCGAAATGATACAGCTGAGCTCAAGAAGGAAGAGTTATTCTTGATCAGCAACTGCAAGGGACGACTCATCCTCAGCCACCCCAGTAATTAGCGCTAATGATATCTATCTCCCAGACTTAGGCTTTGAAGATGAAATGAGACCGTATGGGCCAAGGAGCTTGGAAAGCCATTTAGATATGTGCTGGCCTCATCTGTCGTAATCATGCGCCCCAGAGCTTGAGCAGACGCTTTTACATTTGACAAAACTATTCAATCCAGAGTGAGGCCCTTCCGTCACACCCACCGAATCGATCACTCTGGTATTTCAATCTGGGCCTGAAAGCCTCCAAATAGTAAAGTATCATTTCCAAATTGCTTCTTAAGATGAATATCCTACCTTTTATGCGGCAGTTTTGAAACTGATTCAATCAGAAGAGCACTTTGATGTGGTAAATACCCACACATCAGTTCATCTACTTTCAAATTAATCAAAATATTTAGGCATCTTCACAGAAATCTCTAATAGGCCTAAAACAAGGCAGTAGTTATTTACTCCACAGTATCAGAATTTTTTTTTTTTTGAAATCTCTATTTGATTTTCATGCAAGAAATAAAAGCTGGTTTCATGGAACTCTGTTGTCAGAATAACTAATGTTTTGAAAACAAAGCGATTCAAAGCCTGTCCAATGTGACTGTTGAGTGTGTATCTCGATGAGTCTTAGAAGGAAGGGAATTCTTCCTTCATCCATGCTCAGTGTCTCCCTGAGAGATGGGTTCTTCACCACTGTGGACAGAGAAGGGCTCATCTGTTAACGGATTTAAAGGCAATGAGATACGTTGCAAAGAGACATTGCAGGACCATCAGCCAATGCTTCCTGAAGAATCTCTTGCCCGTATTGCTCCACATGCTCATGTCTCAAATTGGCTCGAATGCTCTAAGCACCATGGGAGAGGTGGGAGGTGGATGAGAAGGGGCAGAATCCTGGAGGAAACCTGCTTGGCATTAAGAGGTGGCGCACATATTTCTCTAAGGCAAGTGAGCTCTATAATCATGAGTTCAGATGAGGGCAGCACCGTGAATTTCCAAGTCACATGTTCATCCCTTCCAATACAATAGCATGTTTGCCCTCCATCACCAGACTGCATTTGTGTTAAAGCACTTATTATTATTATTTTATTATTATTCCTATTATTCCCCCCTTTACTATTGTCATTTTAAAATGTACTTTACCAGCTAAGTTAACCCACACATACCTCACCCTCAGTCTAGACTAAAAAAAACCTCGGGAATTATGAGTAAATATCTTGACATTTTGGTTAGCTCGAACTGGAGTGGAGAGAACCTTCAAGCATTAGTGATTGCAAGCATAACCTTTGTCTATACTGACGTGGGCGAGAGGATTCAGGGTTGCATTGGAAGGTGCGTGGGCAGAGGCAGGGGAATTTGGAAACGTATGAAATTGCTTACAAGGCTTGTATGTTGTTGCTCTTTCCATGACACAATATAAAAATAACTAATTCGGTATTGCAAAAAATCATGTTTGGATTACAGAAATGGAATAAACAGAATATAAACGTAAATTATATATAAATAGAATGTGAACATGTAGATAATAGGAAGTATATTCTTTTAAGAATACATGTGATGTTTAAAATTCATTTCAAATTTCATATTGCATGTAGGAACTCTTAATTTTGACATGCTTTGTCAGCTGGGAAGATTCAGCACAGAAATGAATTAGGAGAATGTGAAATCTGGAGAATGCAATGGAGCAGAGAGATGTGGACACATCCCAGAATAAATGCACATGAAATCTGGGTGGCATAGATTAAAACACAAGCCACGTTTACTTCTTATGCAAATGTTGGCACGTTCGTGTGTATGGCTATGCTTTTAGTTTCAGGTCAGCAGCCTTTGGTTGCAGATCTGAGCTCAGACATAATATATAGGTATAGATGTTCCTTAGCTGAAGATGGGACGTGTCTTAATAAGCCTATTGTAAGATGAAAATGCATTTACTATACCCAGCAGGTTAGTTTAGTGACAGTGCACTGTGGGGTCGTGATGTCATGGCTGAGTGACTGGGAGTCAGTTCCAGTTGGTTGCTACACTCTGTTCACTCAAGAAAGTACCTTACTGCTTATTGCTGACCCAGGAAAAGGTCAAAATTCAAAGTACAGTTTCCACCGAGCGCTTACTGCTTTCACACTCTCTAGAATAAAAATCAGCCTAAATTTGAACCATCTTAAGTTGAGGACTGTATCCATTTCTCAGTCCTGGTTGAAAGGACATTTGCTACCAGGGTAAGCTCCTCTCCAGGCACAATGGAAAGCAAGTGTAATCCCATAAAATATCGCAAGCAACTACCAGGGTTTACCCTTACCTTTTAAAGCTAGTGACGCGACCAGCCTTAAATCTGGAGGTGGTGAAGCACTGTCCCCCTGCCATGAGGAAAACGACAAGATTGTGTTAAGTATAATTCTAATGCAGAGGGGTAAAGAACTGGATGGAGCAATCCAACATGCCAGTCTATCCTCCATCCTTCTCACACGCCTCTCTCACACACCACGTCTACCCCAAGGTCCCCAAACGTCCGATTCTTCAATGGTATCAGATTAGACAAGGGTATCTTGGGATCTATGTTAACTCCAGATGCGTTTCTTCTTGTTCTGAGTTCTAGAAAGATTTTAACTAAAAATTAAGTGTTTCCCCTCCCACACGCAAGATACGATAGTGGACCAGAAACAGGATGCCCACAGCTGGCATCCCCACCCTAACAGGGAAGAGTGAGGTGACTATACCAATCATGGGTTAGAGCAACTGGAAAGTCCTGAGAGGTAAACGCTGCCAGGTTCCCCAACCTTGGGAAGGGAATGTACTTTGATTTAACGTCATTATTGTTTCCTGTGTGCAGCTCCCCAAATCATATCCCATCTTCTCCTTGTGGTTTTTGTCAGCATTCATCGAGAACTTCTTTGTCCAAATCCCCTGGTGATCACTTCTCAAGGTGGCATAGTGCAGCCCACTTGCTCCCGTAGCAGCCTGCTCTGGGTGTTTCCTGAGAAAGGAGGGACCTGAGATATTTTCAGTTTTAGTTTTTGAGCATTTAATATATGTATATAGCATATGTTGATTATATCTACCTTCTATTTTCCCAGATTCCCCACCTTGATCCCCTGTGTTGTTTTGTTGCTGTGCTCTGTCTCTTTCTAGTTGGCCAGTCGGTGGGCTTGAGTTCCACCTCCAACTCCCTGTAGGAATGCTGAGATTTCAGATACATGCCGCTGCATTAAGCTGCTTACGTGGGTCATCAGGCGTGCAAGGTAAATGATTTACCCACTGCTCTGTCTCCTCAGGCCCGGGGTTTTGCTTTTAAGATAATATCCTCAAAGCACAGGCAACTAAAGAATAGAAGGGTAATAACTGGCTGAAATTAATTTAATTATTATACATGTATACATGCCTTGTACCACCATAATGTAGCTTATAGAGATTGCATAGGTATTAAGTCTCATAAAAAGGCCCCCTCTTAGATTTTCACAGAGAACACATACATACTCACAGACATTCATATGCACACACATACACAGACAGAAATACACATACACACACTCACATACACAGACATACACATGCATACACATACACACAGACACATACACACACAGACATACATACAGAAATAGTCATATACACATTATAGACACACACGTACACATACGTGCATATATACTCACATATACGCACATTCACATACACATGCTCATATACACACACAGACACACACATTCACATGCACACAGATACACGCATTCTCACAGACACAGACACTCATGTAAACAAGACTTAGACATACACACGGAAATACCCATACACAGACACTCACAGCCACACACACTCACTGCACACATTCACAGCCACACATTCACAGACACACACTCTCTACATACACTCACATACACATATAGTCACATACTCACATATGCACATGCACATATATAAAACATTAAAGAACAGAACATGAAAAGAAGACCCCTTTTCTATTTTCACACCAGCCACCATATATAAGTCAGCGCGTGCTTCATCATGATTCAGAATGGTTGGTAGAAACTATGAGTATGAAAGATGCTTTATAGAAAGGCATCATCCTGTCCGTCATGGGTATTGACTGGCAGTCTAATGTGGGCTCTTCATCCAGGCAGAACAGCAAATTTCCTAAAATGGTCTTTAATAGAGCTGTAACTCTGGGAGACGCTCACCGAGCAGGAGTAGGTATCCCACAGTGTTGGTGTCTGCGGTCCCCGGGGTAAATCGCCACAACTTCATAGTCTTACCACAGGGACTCTGGAGGTGAAAAGCCTGAGCTGGTGTCTCAGTGGGGCTGCGTGCTTTCTGAGGACCGTTAGGGTGGATTTGTTTCCTCCCTTTCCCCTACTCTGGGGAGCCTCCACTCCTTCACCTCCTGCCTTCTCTCAGGCCATGAATGTTCCAGAGTTTATCTCCCTGCATCATTATGGAACGAGCTTCCCCCCATCCTGGTTCCAATTTTAAGTGCCTTACAATCATAGCGGGCCCACCCCATGGCCAGCATCACCTTGTTATATTAAGGCCAACCAATGAGCAATTTTAATTTCATCTGTTCCCTTAATCTCCCTGTGCCATGTAAAATGGCAGCGGTTAGGTATTAAGCCGTCTACCACAACCTTGAAATAGAGACTGTGTTTTGCAGCCACATAAATTTGAAAGTCCCATTTCCCTCTTGGACTTTTGCAACTCTATCACCAAACACTCAGAACTCTTGGATTCAAAAAGCGTCTGACCCCGTCCAATCCAGGACCTCGTGTGTTTTCCTTGCACGCTGCATGGAAATGAGCAAGAAAGATGTCGAGAAAGAGACAAAGGAAGAATTGGTTTCTGGCCTAAAGGAGCTGAAAAAGCTTCCCATTTTTCAATCATTAATTGCAAATTAATACTGAATTAATTAGCGTGGAGGGAATGCAGGGCGGAGGAGCGGAGAGAAACATCTGCATAGGCAGAAGCTTTGATTGCCAAGCTTCTCCGTCACCAGGCGCCAAGCACAGCTGCAGCCGGGGAGCCTGTTCCTCGTTTGCATTTTGCTGCTGACATATTGTGGCTTATGAATACCTTTTTTTTTTTTAAATCCGTCTAGGTCATTTTCTTAATCTCTCGGACTCTGTTTCTCACATGTAAAATTGAGTTAGCATTATCCCTTTCATCGAGTGGGCCGTCATGTTTTTTTTTTAAATAAGGTTTCATCAATTAAAGTGATGAGAAAGGGCAGAGGAATAAAGTCTAGGTGCCAGATACTGTGATGGTAATGGGGACCACCTTGCCAAGGTTTTGCTCCATGTATAGCTTTCCCCAGAGGTTTACTGCATCAGCCATCACTGGCTATGTCCGATATTGTCCCTGTATGCAGACTAGCCAAATCTTCCACCCTTCAGCGATCTCATGCTGATACCAAGGAAAATAAACTACAGAAAGCTGAGACTTTTTTTTTTTTAATTCCCAGGAGGCATTTGTTTTATGCGATGAGAACATAATGATTGTTTACAATGAAAAGGCCTTGGAAGGCCTCACTTGTTCTGAGATTATTCATGCAGCAATTATGCTATTGATGTCAATCTGTTTCGTGATAATGCATTATAAACTATTCTAAACCCACTCAACAAAGTACAGTATAACGCTTGCACTCTTCCTCAGGCCCTCTCTGGCTAAGATATCAATTTAGTTCCTTGATTAGAAAAAGCCAAATAAGAAGGACATTTAAAAAAGATATAAACAAAGCGCAGAGCAGTCAGAATCTAAAAATGCATTGAAGCTTGTTATTCGAGTGTGGAGAATCTCAAAAGAGAAATTGTTGGTTTCTCTTACATCTAGAGAATACCATTTATCTTGTACAAACACTGTCCAAGCAAGCCCCTAAACTGCAGATATGATCAAAAGGAAAGGGATCTATCTGTGCCAGAGTCTGACAAAACAAACCGCTAGCCCAACTTGATCTCGTATCTGGTTTCAGACTGGTGGATGATAATGATTTGAAAAATCTACAGACATTTATTTTAGAATTTCATACATGAATACACCATATTTATGTTATTTTCACTCCTGACTTTTCTCCATCTAACACTCCCCAGGCCCACTATATCCCCCTTTCAATTTGTGTCCTCTTTTTCTATGATCAGAGAGAGAGAGAGAGAGAGAGAGAGAGAGAGAGAGAGAGAGAGAGCGAGCAGAAATGGAGCAAAGAATATCGTTTGAATGAAAACGCAATGTACTCCTTGAATTTCTTGGAACTGAATCTCACTCTCATTTTACAAAATTTCTTCGTTAATGACCTTAACTACATAACTAAATAAACACACATACATACATACATGTCATAACTACATAAACAGAATAAGAAAATGTGTCACTGGCACACCTACTACATGCTCACAGCTAGCCCACGAAATGAAAAACTGGCTCTGTGAAAGGCACTTTACATCCTCCATGGGGTCTTCCTCCCTTACTCATTTCTTTTCCCTCTCAGATACAATTTGAGCAAATCCTTTGACTACGAGTCAAGCAGCTGGGGAAAGCAAGGCAATGGCTTTGTGTCCTGCACATCTTGTCAGTCTGGTTCAGGTTGGGAGTTAGTTCAGGCAGTAAAGTGTTTGTTTGTGAGCACAAGGATGGGAGTTTAACCCCAGAAACTTTGTTTTTGTTTTCATTTTAAAGCCTGGCATGGTGGGACCTATTGGTAATCTCAGCACTGTGAAATAGAACCGGGCCTGGGGACCAGCCGGTCAAATGCACCTGACACGCCCCAGTCCAGGGGAGAACTGTCTCAAAAGGATGGACAGGTGGCAGCACCTGGAGAACAGGCCTGAAACTGTTTTCTGGCCCCCACACTGGTGTGCACACACGTGCACACGCACCTGCTCTCGTATACACCTGCACACACAGGCTCGCACACCTACATGTAAGTGAATTAGAATTTAAAAGTCAGCATAGAAACAAGAGCAAAGGAAGACTGCTCCAGGCAGCGAAGAGGCAATGCCTCGAGGGTAACGGACTGAGGACCTACAGAGGAACCCAAGTCTGCTTGGGAACTGAGGGAGCCTCTGCCTTGGACTGCTTAGACAGCAGAATTTTAAAATCCACCTCTGTTGTTTCCAGAGAGGAGAGGACTGGTATTGCCAGCTATCTGAACACATCAGATGATACAATATAGTTCTATTTTTAGGCCTGCGACTCAACCATGAAACTTTCCAACAGAATCCAATGTGTTTTGTTAGAGATGCCACCAGCAGTCACGACTAGCTGGCACTGCAAAAACTGAATGTCACAGCAGAGGGAATTACCACAGTGAGAGAGCTAAGGGAACAGTCTTAATGTTATTGATGTCTGGCTGATGGTGGTGTGTGTGTTTGTGTGTGTGTGCGCGCGCGTGTGTAAACCCGAACATCTAATGAACCCAGTGATTTCCCCCCATCAATCGTGATGCCTATATTACAATACTTTTCCTGGGGAGACGTGAGGCCGCTGATAACAGACTCAAGAGATGAATGCGTCTGAGCTCATTTTAGTGTACCAGAGTTGATTGGGGTTACTTATGGAGTCTGAGTGACTCAGGCAGCCACACTGCCAGAAAGCCCCATCCCAGCATAGCTAGTGACCTCTGCAGATAAATTACATATCCTCTAAGCCTCATACGTGCCAGGATGAAATAATGTCCTTTTAAAGATAAAATTATTATCTCTATAGCAAAATCCAACTTTTAAAAATATACCCTTCATAAATTTCAATGGTGGCAGAGAAACACACACACACACACACACACACACACACACACAGAGAGAGAGAGAGAGAGAGAGGAGAGAGAGAGAGAGAGAGAGAGAGAGAGAGAGAGAAAATACCTCACAAATTCACAAATCAAACCAAACCAAACAATTTTAATCTTGCTACTTGCTTCCTTCTGGTTCTAAATTTGTTCTTCTGGTGTGATTATCTAGACTTTAAATCTAGCTGATTAAAAGTTCACACTGCTGGCTCGGGGCAGCCTTTCCTCCCAGGAGTCCACCATGCTCCTTTGCTGACATCCTCCTTGATTCCATCATTTACCCCTTACAGTAACGTCTGAGAACATGGTGTGTGTGTGGGGGGGTGTTGGCATGGAAGCATAGATGATGTTTCTGGCCTGGGGGGGGGCTTCCACTTCACTCCCTAGTGTGATGGTCCTTGTTCCTCTTCTGTTTGAATTGTCCATCACATCTCTCTGCCCTGCATCTGCTGCTACCTGTAGCCACGCCCTCTGACCTTCAGGGTTTTGTACTCCACAGCCTCTAAGCAGCACAGAGGAACTGCTGAATGGAAGTGATGGCGAGGAACCAGGAAGAACTAAGCCTTGTGAAGACGCCACCTAGCTGTGTCTCGCTGCCACTTCGGCCTCTGTGTAGTCATTCACAGCACAGAAGACTCATGTGTTGCTGCTGTTGAGTTTACCCCACTTTTTGGTGTAAAATGCCCTCTTCCGTCCTGATTCTACTTAGAGGTTTACACAGCATCCCCAACATCCCATGGTTCTCAAGATGAGAGAGAAGACATTTACCTCCCCCTCCTCCCCACCCAGTGCCTTGTTCCTGCCTGGGAGAGAAGATGCTTGCCTCCCCCTCCCCCACCCTCCTTGTCTTGTTCCTGCCTGCCTGGCATCCAAGAGGAATGCTTCCTCTTACTTGTTAAGAAAACCTGTCCTTAAGAATTCTTAAGAAAACCTTAAGAATAGGCACAAGTGGAAACTACTAGAAGAAATAACAACTGGACACTTTATTGGGCAAAATATGTAACATACAAGTTCAAGAAGTTGAGAAGGTTCTGAACAGGTCAAGTGTCAAGTCACACCACAGCCAACTGCTGAAAACGAGAGTGCTTGACATCAGTGGCAGAGACCACCCCTCACTTGCAAGGGAAATAGTTCTAAGCGTGGAAAACTTGTCTGTATGATGCAATCAGAAGTGGTACAATTTTCAAGTCCTAGAAGAAAGAACTGTTAGCCCAGAATTTTGTGTTCAGCAAAAATATGCTCCCGGAATGAGGTGGGAACCCGTGACGTTTTCAGAAGACGGCATGAGAATCTGCCAACAGTAGGTCTGAGCGGCCTTGTGATGGGCATACCTGTTCCTTGACTGCATCCGTCCCAACATCCGGGTTGTGCTGCTGGACCCCAGTTTTTACCGGACGTGAAAGGAAAATCTGGTAGACAGGGTGCAAGGGATCTCTGCATCATTTCTTACGGCTGGATTTGAGTTTACAATAAACACAAATGAGAGCCTAAGTAGAAAAATTTTTAAAGGCAGTAACTGAGATCACACAGGTTTAGTTTCTGGTGGGTAGAGGATGTTTGATTTTGCTGGATAAATAAGAATTCTAAACATGGACATATTTATGTGATCTTTATTAAGGATTTGTTATCCTAAAACTTGCAGGGAAGAGAAGTACCCCTTCTCTCTCCTGACTTCGGTTTGTTCTCTTGGCTTTGTTCAGGGTGCCTTAAATGACTGAAGGAAGGATGCTTTCTTGAGACACCAAGTGCTCTCAGAAGCAATTGGAAATTCTTTCCAAAGCATTCCCCCCCACACACACATTTTTCGCCTCTTCCTTACTGTGGGTGCCAGTTTGACACACTTTGTCCAGCTGATGGAGATCTGAATGGTAGTGAATACTGTACCAAGTTTAAGTTGCTGGGCTCCTGCTTAAAGTAAGCTAGCGCTCAGCGAAACTTTTGGGAATGCGTTTCCCGCTTCTGGAGAAGGAAGAGGGTCATACTTTTGACCTGATGGAGCTACCTGCGCGGAATCTGTTTCCCACCGCTAGAAGCAGTCGTTCAGTCTGGTAGGCACAAGTGTCGCAGAAAAGGAACCTGAGAGCAGGAAAGGTCTCTGAGAACACATTTCGGTTCTCAGAACTGTATAGTACTGTTCCCAGCTTCACAGCGCCAAAGCAGTAGTGTATACATAGTAGGCTACGAAGACGAGATTATTGGGTTAACGGTCGATTTATGCTTCTAAGATAAATGGTGCATAATGGTGAAGTCATAAACACAGTGAGGCAGTCTGGAGCCATCTCATCACAAATCTGTGGAGCAGCGCCCTCTCGTGGTCAGAGATTGCCTTGTCGAACGAAGAAATCAAAGCCGAACAGAAAGCAGCCTTTTTGTTGCCAACTGTAACTTGGCAACAACATCCATAAATGTTCAAAAGATGTTTTCAGAACTAAAGAAACAGGCCAAACTTCCACGGTTCCTAGCAGGGAGCTGGGTAAAAAGCCATTCACATGCCTCGTCGTCTTTTCCCTTTGCTTTGGATGTTCCAGATTCCCCTTCAACCCGCTTGATCCTCTAGACTGTGTAGCTTCCCCGGTCTCCTGAGCACGGCTCACCATCATCCACACGTTAAGATTCCCGGTTTCTAGCTTCTATCAAAATGTGTGACTTGCTGGCAGACTCACGTCTTTTCTGTGGAACGAGCTATTTCCCACTAGAATTGCATTCTAACTTCTGGGCTTCAAATGTGGAGCGAAAGCCGTTACGTTTCAAGCTTTCAGGAGAAGTGAAAATTGTTTAGGGAAGTTTGCTGAGCTCAATCAGGCTCAGCCTAGCGTAGCTCGGGCCTTAGGTTACTCAGTTCTGGATTGTTATGTGGTAAGGAAGAGCCAGTAACCGACAACTGAGGACCAGTGTCCACCAGGCCTCAGAGTCCTGTTTCACTACAGCTCCCTTACCCCAGATAGTTTTACTTATCTTTAAATTGTTCTTTGGCTATTTCTCCAAAGTTGGAAAGCATACACGGATTGCCATGCTCTTCAGGAAACTATGGCTTTGATATTCTGGAGTTCTCTCTGTCACGTAAAAATATTCTGTAGAGTAGAGATTGTCAAATATTACATGGGGGAGAAGGTGAGGAAAAGTGTAGCTGCCCTAGCATGTAGGTTGGGACTTAGACATAGTTGGGTAAACCACAATTTAAAATTCAACTTTAAAAAAGTCTATTTCAAAAATATTTCAGAATTCTATACCATAAAGGATATACGAGACACTGCGTTTTGAAAAGGAACCACTGTAACAAACCAAAGCAAAACAGAGTAAAATCTCAAACCTAATTCATGGAGATGGCCTTGAACTGAAGGGCACAGTGCCGTAAAGATGGCCAGAGGTCACTTGCATGATCCTTGCTGTATGAGGAGCCATGTTATTCAACTGAAGGAAATGCCTGAGATGGCAAATGGATAAATCTAGAAAAAAACATTTTGAGTGAGGTAATCCAGACCCAGAAAGACAAGTATAATATGTACTCACTCATTAGTGGCTTTTAGACATAAAGCAAAGAAAAACCAGCCTACAATCCCCAGAGAACCCAGACAACAAAGAGGACCCTAAGAGAGACATACTTGGATCTACATAGGAAGGAGAAAAGGTCAAGATCTTCTGAGTATATTGGGAGCTTGAGGGTTACAGGAAACGGTAGAAGGGGAAGGGGGAGGAAGGGAGGGGAGCACAATAAAAACAATAAAAAAAGAAATGCCTGAGATAATCAACTTAGAAAAGTTGATTTGGGACTACAGTCTTGGAGTTAGTCTCTGATGAAGTGACCTCTGATGTGTTGTGTGGGTGAGGCAGAGTATAGCACCTTGTGGTAGCAGCTGTATGGTGAAGCCTAACTATGTTTTATGACTGAGAGCAACAGAGAGACCAGCCTGCCTTTGAGACCAATTCCTTTGAGAACACATTCCTAATTACCTAAAACCTCCAGTCACACCCTCTCTCTTAAACCTTCTCCTGTGGAAGAGCTGTCCCCATTACCCATCTGCCTTGTGGTGACATGGGTAGGGGAGAAATATCCATCCCCCATCAATGCCGGAGGCAGGTGGGAGAGCTGGCCCTGTGGTCTAAGAGCGAGACAGCCATTCCTGACCCCCAA